AGTTTCTTGCGCCGGTTGCCTGACACCGCATAATTTGAAGCTACGGAAGAGCAGAGGGATCAACATGGAGGCATTTCAGTGGCGAATCTTAAACCATCTTATGGGACGCAAAATCCCTACGAATGCCTTGAGTCTTGGGAGGTTCATACTAGCCCACCTTAGGCCACGTGCTTCAAGCCTGAACTTGAATTACCTCGTATCCACCGCGACTCTATGCTGCGTGGGAAAAGAGAGAATATTGGAAGTTGGACGATCTTAGTAGAGATCCGACCATAGTTCCAAATACTATATATTCAACTTCTGCATCGTGAATCAGTTGCTTCTCACCGCAAGACGTGATTTGGTATCGAGACAGGGCAGTTCATACTCTCCGGTGACGATTGCCTCATCTCAACAGTCACCGAACATGGAAAGTTTTCCTCTATACCGGGGTCTATCAATTATCCCAACTCACTTGCACATTCCCTTCCCTCCTCTTGATGTAGTCAAGTTGAATACTCACCCAGAGAAGAAAAGCGAATGTTAGTGCTTGGAACTTCTTGGTTTCTAAGTAGCGAATCTATGACTATTATCTCTTGCAGGTGTTGTACTTGCCAGGTCCAAATGGAGACTATTCCTTTGGAACGAAGTTCTACCGCGACGAGCTGTCCTGAGCTTCTTGTCACGAACTCTGCAATGCTTAGCAATCGAATGCTGCTGGGCCTTGGGCTTTTTCCTATGCCAGGCCACGACGCACACGTTGTAGAAAGATCTCAATCGTAGTACTAGAAGTTTGATAGGACGAGCAGCAGCTAGAGTCGAACTCAGGAGGTATGGATGGCATGGCATTGCTTAAACACAGCAAGTAGAAGCATACGTCACACATTCAATATTTAATGGCTTGAAATCTTTGCAAAATCCAGCAATATTCATACAAAGTCGCACAACCACGTTTGATCCGTTTTCGTTGCAGGACCTCGTACTTGATTCCTGCTAAGCGTAGTTTCTCCTATCTTTATCTGCCGTGAATGAGTCAAACATTCATCTAGCGGAGGCCAGCACATATAGATGATATCCTCCTTTGACAGAACGAACAGCGGCACCGTGGCCGTCAAGGCATTCCCATGCAGCCCATTATAGCCTCGAATTCCGTAGTGTTACGAGGCATTCTACTCTTAGACGATGACTATGATGCCTTGCAAGCGGACTTACGAGCTCAACATATCGTTCTTGTATTCCTCAAGCTACTGCGTTGCTCCTTTCAGTACTTGGACGACGTTAGACGATTCCCAACAGACGATAGGGGAAGCTGGTAGAAGTAGCAGAAGCAGATATGTGATTGACCCAGCTTTCAGCGGTAACCCGGGCGATATCTACATAATCAAGTCACATGGAGTATGTCTTGACTGAGCAAACGTTATTCAATACTGCCCATGTAGCGCAGCCTCAATACTAGAATCTGAAAGTTGATCAAGTTTAGTCCAGAGCTATTGTAATTTGTGAGTGCTTAAGGAATGCTCCCTGGCGAGGTCAAAAGAAACACATGGGAAGAATTATATTGTCAAAGTCTGGGTCTCTCTTACACGATTATGGAGGTGGTTGACCGGGCTCTCCCTCAAGCAGAGTGAAGCTCAACTCGTACCACCGGACATCTTACGCTATGGAAACAATTTCAAGGGAATAATAAAGCACTGGACTAACCATGACGCGGTCTTCAATCAAGATTCATTTGTCATTGAGTCAGACTCTTTGACATTCAAGCTGCAAAGTCCAATGAACTTATGAGGCCCCTAGGCAGCTTTTTTCGTATTCTATATCCAGTTCAAAAGACTCGACAAATCATGTATTCGGGTTCCCCAGTCCTTCGACTTCATCCCTCAGCCAAGCCACGGAACGGCTGACGATGTGCCGAAATTTTCATGAACCTTCATCCTACAATCATAACAGGATGATGGACTCCTCGTATTTCTCGGAATCTAGAAAATGCCCGAAGCTACTGGCGCCAAAACATATCTTCAGCCCAACAGGCTGAGGACGCTGCGGGCCCGATCAAAGCATCACGGTTGTATCACATCAGAACATTGTTAATGACCTCCCTGTAATGCAGTGTTCCGACTGGTGAGCAGGAGCTCGTGCTCACTTATTGGCAACTTATACGCCTCGGCACCAAGACTTTCACCGTGTTAGACCGTGATCCATGATCGATCAAACAGACTCCCGCCAATACCCGCCTCTCGGCCTCCGGATCCGCGTTTAGAGGCTCCTTACCGCCTGGCATCGATTCCTCATTTCACCGTCAACGACTCAGCCGTTCAAGCGATGAAGTGGAGATAAACGCTGACCGAACGACACGGCGTCGGCAAACGTTCCCCGTTCCGACGTAAACCAGATCTAGAATCTCCCCATTTTCAATACCGGTGTAAGCCCCGTACAACGCTCGTCCAGCGGTCGCACCTTTTTCCAAGGTACGCCCGGAGCCGTGGGGGCATATCAGCCATCGCTGCTCCCTCCATCATCGTGTCGCGCGTCGGCCTCACCCGCTCCATCAGTTTCGAGGCGAGGCGCCACACCACCAAGCGGGCTTGCCCGACGGCTCTGGGCCACTACCCTTCCCCTCTACATGCTACCACACACACACACACACACACACACACACACGAGCAGGACCCAGTCGGATTCCCGTGAGACGGTTAACCTCCACCCCCGGTTGCCCCCACGCAGGATGATCGCCCATGGTGCGACCGTCCTCTCGGTGAGGCAGGTCGCGGGAGATAGAATACGTAAAGATCTAGATGAAGGGCGAGAAAAGCAAGTTGAAAACAGACCTGCCTCGATTTGCACTATCTTGGCCATCGTCCATGGACGTCGTCGACAGCCCGAACTAGTCCAAACAGGCAAGATTATGCCGTAACTTTTTGAGTTCAGCCTAGCAGACCGAGACCCTTGAGCGATTGACCGTTTTCCCCAGGGCCGTGAGACGATTCCCAACCTCGCGTTGGCTCCTTGGAGAACATCAGACACTGGGTCGGTATTGTTCGTCCTGGGTTACCTACTCCACCCTCCCGCCGGAACAGATATGTGATCAATATCTGCCGGACGGTTACGTTTCCCGGTTCGGCTGTTGGAGCCATTGGAGAGAGAGAGAGAGAGAGAGAGAGAGAGAGAGAGCGAGAGATGTTTGGAACTTTGGGATGGACTCATGGAGAAGGGAACCCGGAAGGGCAAGACAAGTCCTGCGGCAACGGCAGTGGCAGCAGAGCAACAAACATGGGGGAATGAATGACGGCCCTTTGGTGTTCATGCCAAGTAGACCCAACGACTCCAACGAGCCGGGGGAGAGGGAGATCTTGGAGCAATTCACCCCTTCTCTGCCGGAGGGACACAAACTTGGCGAACCCGGGGAAAAGCCGTCCCAGGTTCCCAGCCGTACGTTCGTGCTTTCCCTTTCCCTCGCGCAGGCAGGCCTCCCGTTTGATCCCATCGCCCAGCCGCGTAATAGCTGGCCGCCGGAGCTGAGCCCCGAGGGCGGTGATTGGCAGGCACCGTCCGAGATCCGTAAGAGAGGAACGCATGGGGCCAAGCATTAGCAAGGGCCGCCGCCGCTCTCTTGCTCCATCCATGATCCCCTCCCCCTTCCCAATCCCTCGTGCGGACGGGGGAAGGCGATAGAAGTCCCGGTAGTTTCGATAACTCGGTGGTGGTGGTTGACCATGAACCCGCGAGACTGCACATACCGTTCCGCGGGCCCTCTTTCTTCGCAAGTACGCACCACACCACACGGACCACACCACTGAGGAATCAAAAGTCGCGCCGCATTGAGCGGGCAAGGGTCCTGACTCGGAATCCTTACAAGACCAAAGAGCGGTTCCAGGGTTCCCGATTTGTTGTAGCTGCTGCTGCCTATGGGGACTTGGTGAGAGTTGTTAGGACGAAGTGGTTGCGAAGCACCTGCCATATCGGGGAGTTTGAAGGGGGGAACCATCTTTCAATGTTTCCAAAAAGGACGCAAAACAACGTTCCATCCCTCGCGCGAAGGAATATGCGCGAGAAGGAAGAAAGGAAGATTAAGAAGATGAGAGCAAAAAAACAACAACAAAAAAACAGCGCAAAGATTGCGTGCGATACCGACGGCTGGGACTAAGTCACGTTAGGGTCCAAGATGAACAGTGACAGGGACCGGATTGGGCGATAGGTAGGTCGTAGGGTGACTGGGCAAAGAGGAAATAGACAACGGTCTAAAGGTCTAGATGCCGATCATCAGTTGTTCTTGCCTGACAATTGGGAGCGCGACTCTTGGACTGCTCACAACCGACAGTTTAGAAGCGCAAACTCCAGAGGGGAGATACTCATCTACCAGCTCTGTAACCGAACGGGTACGAATGCCGTCCGTTGTTGATCCGCAACCAAAAACTCGAGAGTCAAGCACACCGATACGTGATAACTCTGGAACTCTTCAAGAGGTTTTCCCCTTGTCGAACGGGGAACCCAGCCACTATCGAGTGGCTACCCATCTTTCAATACAAACTTCAAGGGTCCCTTCGGTGTGGGTACGAATACTTCGTACAGACACACTTCTTTCAATGTCGACAAGTTCCCGGTCCTGCAGAGAAGGGGACGAGAAACATGAGAAACGACGTCTCCCGGAGATCATGCGTTCGGAGCGAAATGCGGTGAAACGTAACCCGGACGTCTGGCTCTTGGATCTTCTGCCAATAATGCAGGATCCCGGTCTGGTTCGTGTTTTTTTTTTTCTTCCTGTCTTCCCTGCTCTTCCCCCAACCCCATTATCTGATCCCGGAGTCGGGCCGGAAGTGTAAGTTCAGAAAAAGAGAAGGACTTATCAGGCCAGCAACAACCGGCCGGCGGCCGGCCAAGAGGGCTTGCAGGAAGAAAAGAAGCCGACTTTTGCTTCTGATAATGCTCAGGGAACGAGACGAGGGTGGCGGGTGGCATAGAGTCTTCAATGATACTCTGCGGAGGAATGGAATCATGGGAAACCCAAGACCTAAGGCCACCAGACTAATAGGACACAGGCCTTAAGGCGAGGGAAAAGGAAAGATGTGGACAAGACAGCAGCGTTGTTGTTGGTTCAAGGACCAAGAGTTGATCCCCCATCCCCCCCTGTGAGGTTTCCCTTTCGTCTAAGCGAACCGGCGACAAACCCAGCATGGTCGTCAAAGATGGGGACCAATCACCGGTCCTGTTCACCGACCGCTCACCTGGAAACCTCATCCCATTACCCCGAATCCTCTGCTTCGGTGGGAAACTCACCGAGGTGGGGAAAGGGGATCGCCCTCGCGGCGAGGTCACCCAAACCCCAACCCAATCCTGATAATGGCGCAACCGGCTCAAAAACCGCTTCCCGTTCGATTTACCCGACGGAGCACCACCCCCTCCTCGGCACGGCTGAAAAGAAAAGGGAAAAAAGAGAGGAAGGAAACGGACAAGCCGCCGTTGGATGGAAAACAACAGTCTACGACGACATGCGTCTCTTCCTTTCCGTCGCTCTCACTCTCTTCTCCTCCCGCGTCCCCGTCCCCGTCCCCCGTTACTCCCCAATTGCTGCTCGAAATCTCCCCTCCCCCCGGTCCACAAGAACCGACCAGTGCTAAGAGGGAAGATCAGCAACGACCCAAACTGTCAGAATGGTACCCGGCCCCTCCTCCGGGTGCATGGACTGGATGCCGGGTCCAGCTCCCGTTTTCCGTGGGCTCGGACTCTCTTGACGTCTGTCCTCTGCCTCGGTGTCTCTCCGTTTCTCAAATGTTCCACTTACGGATAATGACAGGGCGGTCACTTTTTCCCTTCGTACGTGAGCATGTGTATCCGCGGCATGTTCAAGCCTGTTCCTGGTCAAAGGAGAACGCCCAACCACCTTCCTCGGTGAAGGGCAGTGCATACAGAGGGAGAGAGGGTGTGTGTTGGTGGAAACTAGAGCAGAACCATCAGTTATCCCCTTCTACTCTATCCAAACCTGGCCACCTAGAATTCCAGCAGGGTCCTTGAGTCGTGTTCTGTGGCTTTCTCGCTGTATTTGTACGTGCGCCCGTCCAAAAAAGATATGTCATGTTGGAGCTCCGCTCGGCGTAACTTGAAGAGAGGGGGGGGACTCCTTTTTTCTTGTCAAAACCGTCTCCAGCAAAACGCCCTCTTTCTGCATGGAGCACCGAGATGCCCCTTCTCCTACCTGAGCAGTGCCGGCATAAGAGGGGGGGACCCTTGAGGGGAAGTCTGCGTATGGGTCAGTGATGTGCCCTTTCCCCTCTTTCTTTGTGGCCTTTGCGTACGGATAGCTTATACAAAACGGATAGAGAGACTGAGAGAGAGGTGAAAGGTCCGTAAAGAGGTCCGTAAAGAGGTCCGTGTTCGATGAGGGGTTTTGGAGCTGCGCTCCCTCTTTCGACCATCGCCATGAGTAAGTAAGGTAGCACGAACGTACGTATTGCAGTAACAATTTGAGAAGGGCTTCTTAGCGCGTGAGAGAAGCAGAACAGTGTGTTGTTGGCCACTGCGCTGAAGCAAAGAGGTTGCGATATGGACGAAGGGGAGGGTTGCAATGCATGCAACGCGCTGCAAGAATCCGTTAGTCGTTGAAGAACAACCTCCCTCCCCTCCCCTCCCTTGGGAATGTCATTGTGGAGCGATGGAACGAACGACATGAGAGGTCCAGCTTACTGGCTCCTTGCTCTGAACCCGAGGCTTCTGAAAGCCAGAACCCGTAAGAGACACGAGCAAATGCCGTGGACCGTGCGTAGAAGAACATCTGAGGCTGCTTTTTCCCCTTCTTTTTTCAAAGAACGCGCACAGAGCCTCTCTGTCCATGGCTAAGTCTTTTGCCCCGCCTGTCTGAGTGAAGATCGGCGCGCCAGGAAGAGACACACTGGACGAGCAAATTGCACCTGAGTAATTCTGAAGTTACTTCATATAGCCCGAATCAATACCGAAGCATCACGCAAACTTGGCATCATATCATATGTTGCATGTAGACAGTACAACCCTGCCAGACCCCGATATCTAGAGCGCTCTTCATTTACACGGAGAGGAGAGGAAATCGTATACACCCTCTCGAGTGCGCTCGATGGGAACGTGGGTTGTCATGAGAACTTGATACCCGGTGACATCAGACCGGGTAAAGAAAGCCGCATCGTCAAAAGGTAAAAAGCACAAAAAAAAAAAAGCAAACCGGCCGGCAGGATCACGCACATATAGACACTGGTCACTGGAACACGCTCGTAGGGCGAAAGATGATCATCCCATCCCGCGATAGACTTTGCGCCCAGAGTTGCTTATCGACAAACCCGTTCCCGCTCGCAAACGCCCCCTCCCCATGCCACCACACATAGTTTTAGGTAGTGCTGCTCGAGACGAGGGAATCACGTCGACTAGCTCATACATACATGCAATGTTCATCACCACCCTCATCCTTACGTCAGGGTACGCTTTTTCTTCTCCCGAATCTACCCACGGGTCTGGTCGGTGACCGGTCAAAGGAAGAGGAGAAAAGCCAAGCTCAATGCTCTCTCGAAACCCATCCCCCGTGACATCTAGCCTCACAGGGTTGAAGTTTGGCTTATTCCACAGAATCGTCAAACCATGGGTTCGAAACTATCCAAAAGACAAAGAAAAGAAGCTCGGCGGATAGACCCGCTCATCATCAAAAGCCTAGTCTACACCCTCAAACTCACCCGTCATGGTCTGTTTCTCATCACACGTTCGAAGGTACAGTATGTTGTGTAGTTCGAACCCACAAAGCACACCTCGGCCCTCACAGCTTCGCCCGAATGTCCAAAGGGCGGATCATCCGTCTCCAACCCACCACGACTCCAATCACCCAATGACAGCTACATTGGAGGTTCTTGCCTTTTCACCCCCAGATGGTATCGATTCTCCAACGTCCCCCATCCATGAATGATTTGCTAATCGGGGCCAAGGCGCTTGCCGTTGGTTCCCAACTCTCCCTCTGCCTCCATCCGCCCTCTCCACTCACACGCTCTCTCTCTCTCTCTCTTGCGAACCCCGGGAATCTAAACCGCGAGTGAACCGCAAAAGGGGACGCATAAACCACGCCTTACTAAGAGAAGGACTCGGGAGGAATACTCATCTCTGCGCCTCCCTGCCTCTAATTAAGGGGCAAAAAAATAAACTAAAAATAAAATAAAAATTAATATATCGAATAATTATACTATTATAGAATCTATTAATTACTATTAAACACTATATTTTAAGATAAACTTTAAGATCTTAGGATAATTAAAATAATAGTTAAAAAAAGCTCTTTATTATTTAGGTTTATAATTAATTTTAACAATCTTAGAATAAGAAAACCTTAGATAAGATAATACTTTATAACATTAATTACTGAATATATAGCTTAAAGAATTATAAATATATTTGAAATTAATAAATTATCTTTTTAAATATTTTAAATAATATTTTAAATAAATCACGTCTTTTATATTAAAATATTAATAATAAAAAACAGTTGATATTATTTTAATTAATAATTTAATCTCTTTATAGTTTATTAATAAATATTATTAAATTATTAAATTTATATAAGTTTTTGTTATTAAATGTTTTATATTTAAATGTAGTTATTAAGTACGTAATAATTTTTATATCTTAAAGTTAAAGCTTAAGATTTATTAATAATAATTTAAAAGTAATAAAAATATTTTAGTATTTTAAATATTATGATAGTAACGTCGGGAAGTACTTATTAAAGTTAAAGATATTATAAAACTAGTATTTAAATAGGCGGATATTAAAGAGGGTAAGCTTTTATACTAGAGTCTCTTATAGAAGAATAAATTGTTCTATGCCCTATGTTCCTTCGTAAAGGAGGGAGGAATACTCATCGATCCGCCCATCCCATATCATTATTAACAGGAAGAATGAGGGAGAGCTCTACCGTATACTAAACAGCACCCCTTCCCACGGACCCCATCTGCAAAGCGCCAACCCATCGTTCGTCGCTAGTTTCCCAAAAAAGAGATATCCACCGCACACACATACTCCGTAGACTCACTCACACACTCAAACTACCTTAGCCTCCCGCACCTGGACCCCTTCCCCGGCACGTAGTCAGGTAGTTTGACAGACAAGCCAAGCCTACAGCGCGCGCCACTATCGACCACCAAAAGAAAAAAAATACGGTCCGTCCGTTCCGCCCGTCTGTGTGTGTGTGTGTGTGTGTCTTTATGTGTAGGAGTGCCGGCAACGACAAGAGAGGTAATGGGTGCGCGCACACACACACCATACCCCACCTGAATTGAACAACTCGTCTTGTATTCTCCCGCGACAGACAGACATCCATACAAGAACATGCCTTCAAAGACAATCTCCCACCCACCACATGAACCGTTCGGTCGTTCAAGCTAGCAAAAACAAACGTGCGGTAAACGCTACACTAAACAAGAACAGAAGAAAAGAAAAAAAAGCATGTGCCCGTACCCAGCAGGTATCTATTACCGGTATATCTCGCCTCCCCATCTCCCCATCTCCCCGTCTCCCCGTCTCCCCGTCTCCCCGTCTCCCCAAGAAAATAGGAACATCCGGGGAAATAAAAGCCCATCCGGGGCGGGCGTGTTGGGACAATGCCATTATCACCACCACCCGTCTTGTCAACAAAAGAGACACAAAGACTAGCTCAAGTGTGGCTGTATTTTGTTTTTTCCTCTTCTGTTCCTTTCCCTCTTCGCGGAGACGGTCCAAAGTCCGAAGCTACATCCCATAAGCCCTTTCTTCTTCTTCTCATCTTGCTCTTCATTGCTTATGAATCCCCTTCGCGGAAAAGCAAAGAAACGAAACGTCGTCCCCCCCCAAGGATCAGCTAAGTGTTAGTCGAAACGCATCATCAAGTCACTCTTTCCTCATTTTTGTTTTTCCGTCACACTTCCTCTCGCCTTTTGATTCATCGTCAATCTTTAAAATCCAGCTGAGAATGAACAGCGAGAGTAGTACGTGGTGCGGAGTACGCCTGCCAATATAGATAAACCGTGAGATAGAATCTAAAGGACCGAAGCAGTTCAACATGGATCGGTCTAGAACCCCCCGATCCAAAAATCCCCTCTCGCCTACCCTATGCCTCCCTATCCCGACAAGACAGACACCATTAAGGTACGAATAGCATCCTTTGTCCCCCCCCTTCTTCCCGTATCCTTCCCCAAAACCTGAACCTTTCCGTGTTGCCCGTCCATGCCGGAGTATGCCCCCCCTTCCCTCCCCCTCTTTGCAATGCTCACTGTGAGAGGATTCAAAGGAGGTATCAGACAACCTAATGGAAAAAGGTAAGTACACCACCCAACACAGCCCAGGAAAACCCGGAGAGAAGCTAAAAGCCGCCAAGCCGTCCAAACACACACGTACAAAGCTCCCCTTGAACAAGGTAATATCTCTATTCGGGCGTCTTCCCCCCGCCCCCATTCAAACTCCCCGGGAGGCCCGGCTTTGGCAAAAAAACGTAGTCTTTTAAAAACCACCAATCTCAATGGTCTTGGAGAACAGGCGGAACATATACGGTCCCGTCACGCCCGTCCCTCAACGGCATTTCCATACTCCCAGAACCCCGTGTCTCTCTCTCTCTCTCTACATCATGCTTCACTTAATCATCCCCCATCCTCATTGCCGGGACGTGCTGCCGTAGTGTAGATACCCCCTTCCTATCCTTCTTGGCTTCTTCGCCACACCTACCTTACGTGACCTTACCTTTTTGCCTGCCCCTGAAGGTCCAAAAAACCGTTCTCAAAAAAAAAACAGAGTCCGCGTTCACTACAAACCACACCCCCCCCCCCCCCCTCCCTCATTCAAGAATAAAGTCCCGAGGGAGCGGAAATCGCGGGGTACGGCGGGCAGAGAAGGCAGGCAACGCGCGCACGTCTCGCGCCCAGAGATGTCCCTCTCTAAGATTCTCACTTGCCTTACCCTCCCCCATGGATCCTCCGCCGCTTCTCCTCCGAGACCCTCTCTCCAACTTCCTCTCCCCAAGCATCTCTCCAGGAAGGAAGGAAAAAAAACGACATAGTTTCTGAGATACGACGTAGCTTTCCCCGATACATACATGATTATCTCTCACCAAGTAACGCTCTTTCGTCAATAGCAACGTCCACTTGTGGTTAAGTTCTCCGGTAAGGCGCGCCGTTACGGCAAATCAAGCATCGGGCGGAAGACGATCGGAAAATCAAGGATGGATGGGGCGGATAATGTAGATTCAATGAGGAACAAGTAGGCCTATCCCGGATATCTAACTACGTCCGACAAAGAGTCTCAATACCTTCTTGTGGGCTACCTCCCCAAAGTAACTACTTCCAGCCGCAAGCTGCAGCTAGGAAAACAAGTGTTGTTTCGGTATACACAGATTAGAGCTTCCTCCCATCTGCCACAGCCCTTCAGCCTCTCCTTCTCCAGGCAGACCTCCTTCTCAGCTCGCGTGCGCGGATATGAATGTTCCATGTGAGGAATCCAAACCACAAACATATGAACAATCCGGGAGTGGAAGTGTGCAGATACATGGCATCATTTTCTTTTGCGACCGACTAGACGTCAAAAAAGGTCTGTAAGAAAGACTCCTATAACACCGCCAGCTTGCCCTCATGTGTTGTTTGGAATGAACAAAAAAATATGAACTCCCAGTCTGCCCAAAGGTTTGATTGAATCTCAAGAAACCTACGCCCCAGAATATGCCTCTCTTTTCGTGCGCCGTTCGCCCAATGAGGAGCTGGTTGTTCATCCGTGACATGAGGGAAAATATCCGAATTGTCTTCAAAGCAGAACTCGAGATCTCGTACGTCCAATAGTCGTGGCTGTGAAAGCCTTTGCCAGCGCTTCTCTAATGCTGGCAATCATCAAGTCGTGACGTAGAAAATGCTTTTGCCTCGCGGCAGTGGGCCCGTCGGATTTGCGAATCGAATGGATCGGGGTTGTTGCCATGGATCCGAACAAGTCCGTCGATAAAGGGGGGTGGGGGGAATAAAAAGTCGAGGTTGCGGGCGAGCTCACAAAACGACGCATTTACTCTTCCCTTCCCTTCTGCCTACTTTGCGACGATAGCGGTCGCCACCCTCCTTGTCGTCGTACCTCGCTCCTGCATCGCCGTTGATGGGCCGGGTGCTGCTTCGTCCGCCGGGCTGCGGCCTCGAGGCGGCCTGTCGCTGCCTCCTCAATATTCTGACAACATCATAGAAGGCCTTCTCGACGTTTATGCAGTTCTTGGCTGAGGCCTCGACGAATTCGCAGCCCAGCTCGCGGGCCAAGGCGTGTCCTTCTTGTGTCGAAACTTCCCTCTCAGTGACTCTGTCGCTCTTGTTGCCGACCAACATGATGGGCACGGGCGCTTGTGGGCTGGCTGCAGAGATTGGCGAGCCTGGGTATGACGGTGAGGATGCACATGACTCCTTGACTCGCTGGATCTGATGATGAAACCGTTTGATCCGTGAAAAGGAAGATCGTGATGAGATGCTGTAGACGAGAACGAATCCTTCTCCGTCTCGTATCCATTGATCTCGAAGGGCTGTGTACTCTTCTTGGCCGGCAGTATCGAGAACTTCCAACATGCATGCTTGTCCGTCAATGACGACTTGCT